CGTGCTCTACTGCAGCCGTCGCCAACCCCTCGGGCTCACGGATCAGGTCGCCAACCTCTCGGGCCTCACGGAACAGGTCGCAAACCTTCGGGCCTCACGGACCACCAGGGATTGGCGACCGCTGCTCTACTGTGTCTCCTTCGGGGCTGTGCTCACCACGAGGGGCAGCCCCCATGAGGCACGGCCCCCCTCCCCCTCCCCTCCCCCCGCCGTGCTCGGGCCACTGTGCCGGACACAGGCCGTGGCTTGTGGAGAAGGAACCCACTTACCCCAGACTTGCCCAGCCGTTCCGAGCCTGCTAGGTCCACCAAGTTAATTTTGGAAGTGATGTACTTTTCATCCGACAAGGTCCGTGAACGGGCCTGTGAAACATCCAAGCAGATGAGACTGAGGCTTCCCGGGGAGGCCTCCTGGCTGAGGCCCAGGGCACGGACCACGACGCCCGGGCGTGCGAAGGGCTCGCACCCACCTCCACGTAGATGGTGAAGATGCAGTGGGACCTGGACGAGTTCTTGTTCATCGTGTGGGAGGCGATGATCCTGTTGGTTTCTCCCTGAAGAGGAGGATGAGAGAGAAACATCGATCAGCTGCCTCCTGCACACTCCCCACCGGGGATGTGCCCGCAACCAAGGCACATGCCCGTGACTGGAATTGAACCCGGGACCCTTGAGTCCACAGGCCGACTCTCTATCCACTGAGCCAAACCGGTCAGGGCAAAAATATATATTTTTTAAAAATGGGGGGGAGGAAACAATAATTGGTGCTTTTATTTTATTGATTTCAGAGAGAAAAGGAGAGGGAGAGAGAAGTAGAAACATCAATGATGAGGGTGAAAGTGAATCATTGATTGGCCGCCTCCTCCATGCCCCTACTGGGGATCGAGCCTGCAACCCCGGCCTGTGCCCTGAGCTGTGATTCACGGGTGGATGCTCAACCACTGAGCCACCCTGGCCAGGCTCACCTGGCCTTGTTTTGTTTGAGATTCGCCGATGCTGCAGCTGCCTCATCGCTCCGCTGTATTTTCATTGCTAAATGGTTTTCCATTGTATGGACGTAATACTTGTTTACTCATCACCGTTGACAGACACTTGGTTATTCCCAGTCTTTGGCTGTTACAGACAACACTGCCAGGAACACTTTGTAAAGCCTCTGTGTGTGTGCACACTTTTATTTTGGGGGATAGATTTCTAGGAGTGGAACTGCTAGGTCATATGGATAATGGGGCTTCACCATTTTACACGTCACCAGCAACGTATGAGTTCCAGCCAATATGACTTTTAAAAGAATAGCATACACTACGGGATTTTTTAATTGACTTGTAAAAGGTACTAAGGACATTAATCCTTATTTTTTTCTATACCACAAATGCCCATGATTTAATGTTAACGGGGGGGGGGGGGGGGGGGGCAATTCCAACTACATAAAGAAGAAACTGCCCAGGAAAAAAAGACTAGAAGGAAATAAGCCAAAATATACATTATTGTTGCCACATGTAGAAAATAAGTAATTTTTTTATTCATATATGTGTGTATATATGTATATATTTTTATTTTTGAGAGAGAGTGGAGCAGGAGAGACAGAGAGAGAGAGAAACATCGATTGAATTGATTGATTGCCTCCCACACAGGGATTGAGCCTGCAACTGAGGTCCCTGCCTTTGACCAGAAACGAACTCGGGACCCTTCAGTCCGCGAGCCGACGCTCTCTCCACTGAGCCACACTGGCCAGGACCATTTACATATATACATATTTCTTCTTAATTGAACCCACAACCCAGGTAGGTGCCCTTGACCAGGAATCAAACCCATGACCCTTCAGTGCGCGGGGCCGACACTCTAACCATCGAGCCATGCGGCCAGAGCTATTCCTATGTTTTAGTACGAGCTGAAATTGCTAAATGAGTATCTTTTAATTTTCATCCTGATTATCAAAGTAAAAAACTAAGAAGGGTGTGAGGAAAAAATAAGAGAAAGAAAGGAAGGGAGGGAGGGGAGGAGGGAGGGAGGGAGGGAGGGAGGAAGAAGGAAATCTCTCACCTCAAAGAGGAGGCTGAAGGCGTCCTCCTCCTGACTGGTGAGGTGGACCGACAGGCCCTTAATGAAGACCCCGTGCGGGTTTTCCACGATGGCCACGGGCGTGGCCGAGGGCCCCACGTAGGGCAGCGTGGACAGGAGGTCGAACAGGCTCTCGTTGTAGATCTCCAGGTAGGAGACACGCACGGTGATGGCATGCGTGGGGCGCTCCTCGATCATCCTGAAAACCTGGGGGAGGTCGGACAGCGGTCGGACCTCTGCAGGGGGCAGCCCCTGCCACGGGAGGGCGGACCCGCGGGGGCATCCAGGCGTGCGACCAGAAAACCCTCCTCCTAAAAGGACTTACGGTCCAGTTGGTGTGACGACCACCAGCAACAACGACTATAATCGTAGTCCATTGGGTGATATTTACTACCACCTTGTTTTAATATATTTTTAATTGATTTATTTTTAGAGAGAGAGGAAGGGAGGGGGATAGAGAGATAAGCATCATTGACCGGCTGCCTCCTGCCTGCTCCCCAGGGGATCAGCCCGCAACCCGGCCATGTGCCCTGCCCAGGAACTGAACGGGTGGCCTCAGTCACAGGCCACAGACCAGCGCAGCAGCCAGGAGCCAGTCGGCAAGTCCCACTCCCTCTTTTACAAACGAGGAAACAGGCTCAGCATGGGTGTGGGCCAGGGTCCAACACCCGGACTCCTGGTTTCCTGAGGCCTCTGACTCACGGACACCCCCTCCCCCTGTGCATCCTGTCCCCCCAGCGTCCAGCAGCTGGCCTGGGGCCGGCAGCACCTGCGGCCAAGCGGGACCTGTGTGCCCCCCGCGCCACCCCCCTACCTGCTGCAGGGCCCGGGGCAGGATCCCTCGGTGCCTGTAGTTCTCCGTGGTCCCGGTCATGGTGTAAGTCTTGCCAGCGCCTGTCTGCCCATAACACATGATGGTGCCTGCCAACATTTCAAAAAGAAGACGCGGTGACCTCCAGGGAACAGCTCCGAGGATAGCTCTCCCCCTCCCCCCAATCCCACTCCCCCACCCCCTCCCCCTCCCCCACCCCCACCCCCCACCCCGCCTGCCCAGGGCCAGCCAGGACCCGGCCTGGCCTGGAGGTGGCCATCGGGAGCCTCCGCAGAGACCGGGATTTCCTGCCATGGAGGGTGGGTGGCAGGGAAATGGGGACATAAATGCTCAAAACACAGGCAGCTGCCCTGAATCCGAGGTCCACCAGGTGCTCTGCCGTTCCCTCCACCAAGAGATCTGACCCAGGGCTCCGGGGAGAGGGGGGGCAGGGTCCCAGGGAGCAGAGCGGCTGCGGATTTTCCCGGGAAGAGGAGGAGAGCTGAAAAGGATTGAGCTCCAGCCCTTCTTTTTTTTGGTTAACCCTCACCCGATTTTTCTACTGATTTATTTTTATTTTTACTAGAGGCCCTGATGCACGAAATTCGTGCAAGGGGCTTGGCCCTTGCAGCCCTGGCTTTGTCCGGAAGGTCGTCCAGAAGGACATCCGGAAGGTCATTCGACATTCGGCTGTCCAGTCTAATTAGCATATTATGCTTTTATTATTATAGACTTTTAAATATATTTTTATTGATTTCAGAGAGGAAGGGAGAGGGAGAGAGAGATAGAAACATCAATGATGACAGAGAATCATTGATCAGCTGCCTCCTGCACGCCCCTTACTGGGGATTGAGACCGCAACCCAGGCCTGTGTCCTTGACCGGAATCGAACCCGGGACCCTTCAGTCCGCACCGGCCAGGGCAGAACTCCAGCCCTCCTTCAGCAAGGCCCTGCGCTGCCAGGGGCTCTGGGCGAGGCCTCCCTGAGGGGCTGGCCGGGCAGGAGGCAAGGGCGTGTGAAATGCCCAGGAAGAGATGGGGTGGAAAAGGCATTTCCCGCCAATGGTGAGAATTCTTTGTAGACTGCAGGTTCCCACAGCACCGAACGGGCTGCCAGGAGGCCCCTTCCACTTCCGGAAGCAGACACCCCGGCAGGTCCTGACCGGGAGCCCCTGCCCCCGGGGACGACTCCCACCTGCACCTCTCACGTCCTTCAGGCCACGTCACCCCAGGCTCCACGGGGGCCCCGGGCTCAGGCTCCCACCTGCTCCTCCTCCTGGGCGGGTGGTGCCAGACCCTGTGCCCACGGCTGCTCCTGGGGTTCACACAGCAGACCCACCAGGCACTGCGGTGCCATGGAAACCAGAGCTTGCTTTGCCGAACGGATGCTCCATGTCTGGGATGGGCAGATTTCTACCAACCACCTAAATCCAGAATGTGCGTCGGAACCCAGATGGAGTGTCTACTGACCCAACACAAGTGAGCAGGAAGGAGTCACATGGGCTGGGACTCAGGACCCACTTGTGGTTTTTACTTCCCGGGCCTCACTTCCTGTCTCTGCCGCCTCCGGGCCACACCCCGCGGGTCAGTGAGGACCACACCGACGGGACCACAGGGAGTGTTTACAGTGTCTGAGCATCTCCGCTCCAGGGCCTTCTTAAAAATGTTAATCTTTATGTGTTGATTTCAGAGCGAAGGGAAGGGAGAGAGAAACATCAAGTTGCTGTTCCACTTATTGACACACTCACTGGCCGCTCCCTGGATGAGCCCGGACCGGGACGGACCCGCAACCTTGGCGTCGAGGGACGACGCTCTAACCAACCGAGCCGCTCAGCCAGGCGCAGGGGCTGGTCACAGACCTGAGCGTTGCCAACAGGGAACGTTCTAGTCAGCAGCCACCAGTAAGCAAAGCCCACAAACTGTGATGTGTGCTGAGGATTTTTAAATCTTTAAAAGGGGAAAGAAAAAAAAAAGATTTCAAAACAATCTTACACTGAACAAGTTTGTAAAAATTTCCTGATGCAGCTGCTTTTAATTTGTTAAGAAATCAAACGTGCCCTGATCAGTTTGGCTCAATGGATGGAGCGTCGGCCTGCGGACTGGGGGGTCCCGGGTTCGATTCCGGTCGGGGGCATGTGCCCTGCTTGCAGGCACATCCCCAGTGGTGGGTGTGCGGGGGGGCGGCTGATCGATGTTTCTCTCTCATCGATGTTTCTGGCTCTCTATCCCTCTCCCTTCCTCTCTGTAAAAAATTAATAAAAAATATTTTAAAAAAAGAAAAAGAAAAAAGAAATCAA